GGAGGTCGGAGTGAGGTACACCTTCAACGACTGGCTGTCCCACGTGGACGCGCAGGCGGTGCCCGTGGCTGCGAACGAGCCGGGTTTGGTGGGGGAGCGCTTCGCCTTCACCGTGTACACCCCGCCCCTCGCAGACCCCGGCTCCGCCGTGCACCTCGCCGTTTACCTGAAGTGCGAGGAGGGGGAGTTCTGGGACAACAACGAGGGGCAGAACTACACCGTCAGGTACCGCTGCGTGCCCGGCCACGCGCCCTTTGTCAGCGCCGCCTTCTACGCCACCTGAGCCGTGCATAAACCTCTCCACCTCTGCGTAAAACCTCTCCACCCCTGCGTAAAACCTCTCCACCTCTGCGTAAAACCTCTCCACCCCTGCGTAAAACCTCTCCATCTCTGCGTAAAACCTCTCCATCCTGCGTAAACCAGCTGCTGTGCACCTGTCTCTCTCTGTCCCGTGCTCAGATCAGTGAAGCTGAGTTATTCTCAGGCTGCAGGCTTCACCGTTTCCTTGATTTTAAACCTTTAGTGCCTTTTTTTAAACCGACCTCTGATGCTGAGCCTTTGATGTGTTTAGAGGACCGCAGCACAACTCAGAGACAGTTCCAGATGTTAGAACTATCCGCTCTTGATTTGAAGAATAGAGGGATTAACTGCTGATTTTGACATTGACATGATTTGATATTGACATTTTCCGTCACGCTTGGGCTTGGTGTGACGTCACAGAGTAATGAAACTGTTTGATTTTTGTGACCTGATTAAAAATGAAGCTGCTCATGTTCAGGATGTCCAGTTTTGTCCTTTGAAACAAATAAAAGTGACGCTGGAAGCCGGAAGTCTTTGTTTTTCTTCAGTGTGCAGATTCATCCTGATTTATTTTGTGCTTTGGTTGCATTTAGAGTTTCTTTCATACAGAAATGTTTCATCGTGTTTATTTGGACCCAACAACCTTTGTTGAGGCCGTTGTTTCTGTTTCCATGTGTGTTAGTTTTGTGTTGTGTGTGTTTGTGTGCAGGTCGTCCACAGAGAAGCTTCTCCATCAGCTGCAGGAGGCGTTCAGACGTCTGTCTTTGCTCTGCTGCAGCCTCTGAGCGCGCTCACATTAAAGTGGGCGTTGCCTGCTTCAGTCAGGGTCATCATCAGAGCAGATCGGTTTGAGGCTCTGAGCTGAGGTTGAAGGTTCAAATGCAGCTTTCAGCTTCTTGTTTCTAGAAAGTGAGTTTGTAATGGTTCCCACCACTGCCACAGTGGGACCTCCACACTGCTGTGGACACAGGCGAGC